AAAATTGGGAGGAAAGTTGAGCCTGGGAAGAAGGGAGGGGTGGAGGGAAGGTGTTTTCAAGATTTGGTTTTATTTCTCATTATCCTGCTCTGAGTTGATTGGTAGTAAGTTAAATTAATTTTTCCCCAAGTCAAGTCTGTCTTGCCCGTGACAATAATTGCTGAGTGATCTCTCCCTGTCCTTATCTCAACCCACCAGTCTTTCGTTATATTTTCTCTCCCCTGGCCAGTGGAGGAGGGCAGTGACAGAGTGGCTTTGGTGGGCACCTGGCGTCCAGCCAGGGTCAACCCACCACATTTATTCATGGAAAGTCTATGAGTATGAGCAAACACGGCACCCGGGGTGTCATATGCAGAAAAGGCATTAATAGACTTTGAGATCAAGACAGAGCACCAAACCATAAGGACATCCACAGACATTAACCTTTCAAGACTTGTGTCTGGTCTGACAGATCTAGTCTTTAATTTTCCTGGTGAACAGGTTGCCCAAGGAGGCTGTGCAATGTTCATCCTTGGAAGTTTTCAAGACCAGAACGGATAAAGCCCTGAGTAACCTGGTTTGATCTCAAAGCTAACCCTGAACAGGGGGTTCGACTAGAGACCTCCTAAGGTCCCTTCCAACCTGCATAATCCCATAATCCTATGAAAGAAGCCCTTTCAATAAAAAAGCTGATCTGCAGTATCTGAAGATCATGACCGTTTCTAACAGTGGTTATGTCCCCAAAAGCAATCCTCCAATTCCCATTTACAACGGGATACTTACATTTGGCTTGAGCCTCCACTGAATTCCATTGTTTCCTGTTACAATGACTTCATATACTGGGAGGATCTCATTGTCTCCACAATTAAATCTATTTATTTCATTCTCAGATGAAATCAGCAAAAACGAAGTCTCAAAAATTTCCGCTCCATAATGTTTAGTCAAGGTCTCCATTGTTGATAAGTATTTAACTTTCAGATCACGTGGAGACACACTACTGTTGCCAATGGTTTTATTGTTAAACTCCTTAAGGAAATGCTTGAAAACATTATTTATCCGAATCCTGGTTAAGAAATTCCTCTGTCTGATAGTCTTGTTCAAAGTTTCAGGAATATAATGCTTATAACTAGAAGGAAAAACAATGATACAAGTTAATACTGTTGTCTCCTAAATTTTAACTCTCCAAAATGTGCAACTGCCTTACCCTGAAAGTAATTTACAGACAAGGTGCAGTAAACCACTGCACAGTTGCTACTGCAGCAGTGCTTTACAGCATTAATAGCCAACAGGAACTCAAGTAATAACCTTATCTGAAAGCTTTTTAGTCAAATGGATACAGCCCACTCAAATCAATAACATCATTTATTCTAGTAGTTTTCTCATTAGGTTGCCACTTAACACCACTGCCATTTCTCAACCTACTAACCCAGAAACACATCAGTATGCTGGGTGCACTAGATGCACAGACTTCAAATGCTCTCTGGGTAAGAAAAAATTTAGGTTTGCTAATACATATCCCTACTGACAAGATTAGGAAGACCCACTTAGCAGTAATAGTGTTGGAGCTTGTAACTTCTGTACAGTCAGATCCTGGAAGGTAAAATGCTTAAAATCCCTTCTGAAGAGAAGTGCAGCAGCCCCAACAGTGGCAAAGAAGTTATCCCAACTTACCTGATATCTTTGGGAAGCTCCGGAAGCTTCACATTTTTCTTGATGGCATAGTGAGAGATTGCAAGGACAGCCATCCCCAGACACTCGTTTTCAATTTCATGAACCTCTTGATCATTTTTAGGATCACGAATTGGTGCCAGGCCTTTCACTAAGTCATACTGACCCTTAACAGGAAGCAAAAAAAGCAAGCAATGATGCAGTCTTCTCTTACACCGGTGAAACAGAAACACTGGCAAGCACTAGTCACCCCACAAACCCTGCCTATTGACAAGAAACACCAACACTTGTGCCTGACAGAAGTCTGTTAAAATGACAGTTTGTGGAATCACCACGTGGATCGTCACAGCAGATCCACCACACATACAGTCCACACCGCTGTGGCTTTCACCAAGAACATGTGTAGACACCCAGGTACACCACCTGCACTGCTCAGACACTTCCAAGACCCCTGTCCCCCTCTATACACTAGCCCACCAAAAATTCACTTTTTTTGTAATTAACTAAAGAAAGCACCACCCCTGTGTCCTTCTAGCACCATCATGATTTTTTTTTTCCTGGTACACAGTAAATACTTTGTGTCTTTGCTTTATCTCTGCCCTCCATCACCTGGTGTCCCTATGAACCCCAGGCACTCAGTCTCTAAGCCACATCTCAAAGCCAAGACTGCAAACTCTGTGGCAGCCACCTTGCTCTGGGACAGTATGAAAAATATTTGGTTACCAAAGAGTACAGACATTTCTGTTGCCTTATTCTAGCATTAGTGCTCTTCTGTTTGGCTTTTTAAAAAAATGTTATTACCCCGAAGTAAAATTGCTTAATGCAGTAATTGTCTTAAGATAGTCCCTTATCCCTACGATAGTAGGGTCCCTACTTATTCCGCACCTTAAAAGGTGTTTTCATTCTTTTTGCTGGCACTCAAAAAAAAGGGGAAAAAAGAAAGGACAAAAACGAGTTTTCGGGCATGTTTTCAAACAGCAATTTTGCAAAGTTGCATACAGGTACACAGGAATGTTCATACAAAACAGGGCATAAGTTAGATTGATTACAGAGGAAAAAAACGTTTGCTGCTTTTATTGCTTTAGAATGCAAGTGGTACCATTAAAATGCACACATAGTTGTGGTTAACTTGGTATTTTCTTTTATTGTGGTTTCACAACAGAACAACCAGTATTCACTGGAGCAGCTTCATGCTATCTCTTTTTCTGAAGGACACAACCCTGTTTCAAAATCTGCAAATTGTGCAGTAATTATACACAGAATTAGCAGTAAACATGTTTTCTTCCAATACATTTAATTTGCTCATTTCACAAGCCTTCATTGACTTCAAACTTCTCAGTTCTTTGGCAAAAGCAGACAGTTCCTCATTTGCAAAATCACTTGCGTGTATATGAATTTTTTTGTACCAGAGCACAAGCCTTCTGAAATAGGGACCCTGTTTTACCTGCCACGTCCAGCATGCTGCATGTACCGCCAACAAGTGGGAGGCACAACAGGAGGAAAAAAACTGTATGTAAGCAGGCTGTGTGACACTGGTATTATCAATGTTTTAACACCACACAGGAAAAAAGACCCATTAAAAGGACACCATACTGTCAGTTTTAAGACTGCTACTGTTCATCTATAGGACTATACATGTCAAAGTCATTGTGTGCAAATGTTTCGCAAAAGAAAAGGTGATAGCATTTATATCCAAAAATATTTACTATTAGAAGAATGTATGCTATAAAAATATAGCCATTTTTGGACTGCGAGATAAACAGTTTCTTTACACATTCTGCATATGGGTGGATTGTTCTTCACATAGCAAATTCTCTTCTCTCCACCATGCAGAAGCATGAAGAAATCATCAATACTAACAAGTAAGGTTACATGTACTTTAAAAGTTTGAAAAGAGGTCTTTAAAGCAGCTTCTAATGGATCAAATAGTTTCTCTGTGACCATAACGGCAGATATACTTGCAAGCAACCTCTTACCTGTGCAAAGATGTATTCTAATGAGTTTGCATCAAGTATAGGGGTTCCTTCTGGTGCCAGTTTCTTCTCGTAAGAGTTCTTTGCCTTCCTTGGCGAATGCCTCCACACCGAGGGTTCATTTTCACTAGTTCCATGCCAGTTTGTAAAGTAGTATCTTGCAAGAAAAGAGGGAATAAACTTTAAACACTTTTGGGGAAATCCTCCATTTACATTAGATACATAATTTAAACTTTTAAAAGAAAACCAGTTTCAAGTCAAAATCCATCCATCTTCTGCCCTGAGGTTGCAAGTTAAAGTGGTCCACTGCTGTAACTGCATGCCTGGCCTGAGGAACTGGGAAAAAAATGTGTTTTAGTCAAAGGCCTTCAGTGTTTCCACTCAACACTATCTCACTCTGAACTCACGATACCATGACTGATTGCCTGTCACATCGCTGCACAGTCCACCGAACAAGAAGGCACTACTCAGATGACAAATATGCTTCCATCACCTCTGACATTGCTTGAGCAGTGTAAGAGAGTGTAAAGCCTCTACTGTGCATTTACCGATGGCTGGCATTTGTATTCCAAGATAAAATGGCTCATCTAAATGGTTAACGAGACTTCAGATCTCCTCCTCTTCAGGCACAGGGAAGAACTTTGCTATGCCTCCCTCCCTGGAACTTCTGCTTCCCTTTGGGTTCAGATGAAGCTGGTAAAAAAGGCACTAATTCAAATCACCCATGTTTTAAAGGGACACAGTCAATCTTCTGTGTATATTACAAAGATGCTTTTTACTCATATCTGTACACAAAGCTATTTAATCAAAAACCTGCTAAAGGACTTGGCATCTACTGAAAAGTAATATTTGAGTTCAAGCTCTGTTAGCACCTTTTGAGAAATCTTTGCCTAAATTATTCCAGAAATTTCTGTTTATCTGGGTTCTAGTAACATTTAAATCAAGTAAAGCTGAGTTAAATCTGGTGTGAATTAATGTGCCTTTTGCAAAGGTTCATGCCTTGCACATGATCATGGACTACTTGCAATTAAAAGGTTACAGAAGAGCAGATTTACCCAACTGCTAAGTAGGAATGATTTCTGTAAGAATATGTCAACCTAATTCCAGAGGAGCATTCAGTGCTAGAAAGAGCAAACAATACAGAATTACTGCATTGTATATATATATAACTGCATTAATACAAAGGGTGGTGTACAATCAGACATTTCTGATGGACAGTGACCACTGTGAGCATCGCATAATTTGTTTCACATTACCGTGACATTGCCAAAGCAAAGCTTTTAACATCTTACTAAATATATGATCAAAATCATAATGAATCGTTGTCACCAAAATGAGATCAACCAGCCTTACACAGGAAAAAGACAAATGAATGTGACTGTTAATAGACACTGCACATAAAAGAAGTAGTAACAAAAAAGTGAGCGGAAAAAAACATGAGGTTTTAGAAAGAAAATGTTGAGGCATGTGATGAGTATATCCAACTCCTGGATTGGAAATACACCTTTTCTGTATTGAAACAAAAAGCTGACTAGATAAACTACCTCATAATCCATGAACACATTTTGAGATTACAAATAAGAAATCTGTTTAAATAACAAATCACTATGTTGCACAAGCAGTTTCATTTCAAATATAACACAATAAAAATGGCAAGAGATGGGTCCTAGAAGACAGGAGGACAGCAGCAAGGCCAGTAAGTCAACTGGCAAATGCTTACGAACATTATGGCACAGAACAACCAGCATGCAAAAGTGTGTGTTTTAAAACATGTGACTGTATCTTTGTGATTCAACTCTGACCAGAATGGGAGTATATGGATTAAGCTCCAATTCTGCAGTGGTTGAGGTTGGTGTGTATCAGTCTCAGTGCAGACTCAGGATCTCAAAGAGCAAAACAAAATTGGTACTTTTAGTTCAGCAACATGTGTTTTAATCACACATATTATCCGTACAATAAATGAACAATTCAAATGAAAAATTATGTATCAAATTAGTCTTAAAGAGATGAGACTTTCTGTACAGTGTTTCTGTCCATCCTTTCTTTTCGGTAAGTCTTTTTAAGTCCCCAAAAAGCATAAATCTATAGCATGAGTAGGAACACCAACACACAACTACACCACAAACTCCTGACAAGTACTGTGAGATACTGCAGAACACCTTTGGTCAAAGCATAAAAAGCCAAGGAAGGCAGATCCTTCCGCCTCCAGGAAATGACTTTGTTTCCGTACTCCTTTATAAGATGAGTGGTAATTAATAAGTCAAATTTTTTTGTATTTCCTGAAAATAATTATGGGCAAGAGAGTGTATATTGTTTGTAATTAGGATGAGAATTTGCTCCTTTCCCCAATCAAACTGCACTGGTTAAGACAACACTTACTAGTTACAATAAAAATTAGAGCCCCATTGTGTGAGGAACCACATAAATAATTAAGGAGAGCCTGAGCCTTGAAGAGACGGATCGACTTGTGGTAAAGGGGGACACATTATTACTATTCCAATTTCACAAACAGAAATGGGAGCACAAGCTTCCCAATTCCAACATCCTGCAAATGAGCTGGAAAGGAGACTGGGTGCTCCTGAGTTTCAGGAGCATGACCCACCCCTCTTTCAGAGCGCTTTAGCCCAGGGCAGGCACCTGCAGCATGGGTGAGAGCCGGCTCGACCGGGTCACCCTGGGAAGGAGCAGTTTTGCACTTCACACGTTCAATCTGGCCAAGGAGCTGTAGAAATGCCGGAGGGGGACCTGCTGTTCTCCTTTCCCAAGTTTCCTGAAACACGTGTCTTGGATCTCTTCTCCACACCAAGAAACACTGCTACCTCTGGCTTAAACACAATCCAGCTATGGAACAGTTAAACTCCTCCTCCATCAGCTGGTGTGCTAATTAGTCCAGGATATTACAAAATACTGTGGTTTCTTATGTTGCAGATTTTTTTTTTAAACTTCAGGCAAGTGAAAGAAATACAGGGCTACTTAAAAAGTCTCTAGTGAAAAGCAAGTCCTTTTAAAATATTACCAAAAGTATAGCAGCTGGCATGGATTTGATGGACAGGAAGTCCACACAGTCAGAAACCAAATCTAAAGCTTTCAGCAGTGGGAGAAAAATCAAATGTCTAAAAGCATTTGAAACTACTGTGTCACATACCTTAATTTTATATATATAATTTCAATAGGACATGACTAAATAAAATCTATCAATGTAATGAAATTTCAGAAATAAGATTGTCCACATAAAAATGATTTAGTCTCTGAATTATTACATACAGTCTAATATACTGCACTATTAAATAAGCCCAAACCAGTTTCCTTTTTCAAGAGGAATTCTGCCTCTTGCAGAACTCAGAGTAAACAATATTCATTTAGAGAACAGTTTCACAATCCTGTATTGCTCATAAGTTTTCAATGCTCTGCCCTGCTCTCAGTTCAGATGCCCAAGCCAAGACACACAATAGATCAGAAATGAAAGAAAGGAAAATACCACTTCAACAATACACTACAGTATTCCTAGGGAGATAGGAATCTTTAGATTTTAGTGCTTAATTCATACAGGCTCTTCTTAAATGCATATGAAATTATTTTAAATACACAGTTTGCCAAAAGTTTGCCGATTTTCATACATGAAGTTCATTCTATAAAGTGGTAGAACAGAAGATTTTCCAGAAAATAAAGTTCAACATAGATTAATTTTGCCCATATACCTAAAATTTGGTAAAAGTTACAAACGGCCAAAGAAGATCCATACGAGGGATTTGTAACCGATTCAATTTATAACTGTCCAAGCAGTTTTAGGGAAGGTGGTGTTATCTGCCAGGCAGGTAAGATGTAGTAGGAATGAAAGATTACCTGGAGAGAGCTCTCATCATTATCCCAAAGCAGAAACATGTAAAGACCAAACACAGTGGAAACTATTTTTGAAGAATTGAATTAAAATCATCATACTTCTAATCAGAAGATTAAATTCCCACAACTACCCTTTTAAAATACCACCTTCTTTTACTGGGAAAAACAGACCACATCAAAGAATTTCAGTATCAGGGGAAAACGCCCCCGACTCACATTGTACCAAGAAATTTTTTAATAGCTAGTACACAGTTAATCTGACTGATCTCTTAAAGCAAGAAAGGGCACTTAATGCTCTGTAAGAGGCCATTAGAGTCCTCAGAGCTTCTTTTAGAGAGTCACTCAATTCCATTATTGTATGCTGTTTATCTGCCAAACTTAATCACAGCTGTTTAAATCTGAGATTAGCTGAGGTTAAGTCATTAACACCGCTAATATACTGTGTTAAAGAAAAAAGAAGAGACTGTAATATCCTCTTCCTCTTCTAAAAATACATCTCAGTATTATAATTATTGGAAAAGCAAAGATCTTTTTGCTGACTGTCAGTACTTTGTTTCTCATAATAGTGCATCCAACAACAGTAACAATTCTAGTCTGGCACAGATGTAATCATAACTGAAATACCTTCCAGTTCAAAGATCACATTTCCAAAGGTGTCTCTTTAGGGGTTGAGCTGCTGGAAAGCAGCTCCATGGAGAAGGACCTTGGAGTCCTGGTGGACAGTAAGTTGTCCACGGGACAGCAGTGCGCCCCAGTGGCCAAGAGGGCCAGCGGTGTCCTGGGGT